CGGCAGCCCCAGCCGCTCTCCCGGCACCCGAGCCCTGCAGCACCAGCTCCTGCTGCCACCCCGGGGACACGCACCCCCCAAAACCAGCAAGCAGCATGTTTCCTAGCCCTCTCCCAGACTCTCCATCCCCCGTACGCTGCCTCTGGGCGCCTTGCAAGGCTTCCCAAGAGCCCCCCCCAGCCATGCAAGGTGGGAGTGTGCTCGAGCTCTCCGGAGCAGCCCACGGCTCCCCACGGCAGCCAGAAACTCGGCTCTCTCCCGCCCCAGCGCAGCGGCTTTTGAGAGCCAGGGTGGGCCCGTTGCCAGCTGCACGCTCAAACCCGGAGCGCCGGGACCAGGCACACAAGCTCCCCGCTGCGGAGCCGATGCGCTCGGGCTCTTCTGCCCCAGCAGGGCATGGGCACAGCCGGGTCCAAACTTACCAGAGCTTCCTGGGCATTTTGGAGGCTGAGCAGAAAACCCTGCCGTTGAGCAGCAGCTTCCCCGGGGATGCTCGGTCCTCTGCAGCGCCTTCCCCGGTACCTCCCCGCGCCGCCCGTCACCGAAGGGGCCAGCCGAGCCCCCCGCGACGCCAGGGCTCCCCATCCATCGCCTCTCCTCCGACACTCCCACTCCGCAATGTCTACTCATTCTCTCCGGCTCCGAGTCCCTCAGACATATTCATGGTTACCATAGGAACTAACGAAACCCAAATTAAAGAAGAAAAAGGAGAGGCAGAGGGAAAACCGCCACCTGCGTGTGCGCAGGTTTATTGTGACAGAGGCCGAGCGCAGCAGGCAGGGGAGCGTCCCGCAGCCCAGCCCCGTGCGCCCGCTTCCCCAAATACCAGACAGAATTTGCACAGGATCCAGCCGGAGCCCGTTGGGACGCACAGCCCCCCGCTCCCCCAGACAGAGGGGCTCGATGCTGCCCCACCAGGGTGAGGGGCTGGCTCAGGAGGGGGCTCCTGCAGCCCCCCAGCTGCACTGGTACCCCCCCTGCAGCCGAAAGCTGGGGCCACATCCACCACCACACGCTGCTCCTCCCCTGCTGCGTTTCTGCACGCCAATATTGATGTTTGCAGCACGCACAAGGCTTCGTGAAGGGCTCCTTGGCTTGCAGAAAGCAGCTTGTCTTTTTGTTAACAAGTTCTGCAGCGAAGAAAATTGCCTGTGTCTGGTATCTCAGCCAGAAGGCTGCCGCAATAATAAGAGGGCGTTAGAAAACCAAAACTATTTTATTTTTATTTTTTTTTTTTTTTTTTAATTTTAAAGGCTTTTACAAACACCTAATGTGGCTCTGGCCGGGCCCCAATTACTGAACCATTTAATGAAGCAATCTGTCCACAAAGCAGAAGCCTTACGAGGCCGTGGAAAGCATTAGCTGCAAATAGCAGGGATAAACCAATGCCGGTGGCTGCTCATCGAACGCCCTGAGCAAACCCCCTCCTCGGGCTGGGGCGGGACAGAGGGGGAGAGAAACGTGGCCCCAGGCCTTGCCCCCACCCAAGCAGGAACGCGGCACCGTGCCCCGCGGCACCGCACAGCGCTCCGAGCGCGGCACTACTTGCCCAGCACGGTGGGCAGAGGGGGTTAGATGGTATTTCCGCAGCGGAATTGCTACACGGGCCCCGAAACAAAACCATGGCACAGCATACGGCAGCGTGCAAGGAGCAGTTAAATCCTTCTCAGCTCCACGGGAAAAGGAAAGTCTACTGAGACTTCCCTCCGCTCCCAAAAGTGGTAAACATTGATTTAAACTTCTCATTAGTTCAGCAAAAACCTAAGCAATGAGCTTAGCAGCCGTGTTTCGTTGTGCTCTTTACAACGGGCACTGGCAGCAGGCGCCCCCCAGGAGTTCTGTATACTTTTCCATTAATGAATAATTTGCACAAGTAATGATTACAGAGGGAAACCGCCTGAGCTGTTACCCATACACATTACCCTGAGCTCAAGGGAGGCCTGGCCAGACTATTTCTGTAGTAGCACACAGTTATGCCAATAGCACCGGAGCCGCACGGGTGCTTGCAATGGAAAAACCCCCGACCCGGGGAGCTTATCCAGAAATGGGGCGGGGGGAGGGTGGGATCTGCCACGGCAGGAGGGAAGGGATCCCCATGGGAACGGGAGGCAGGGCCCAGGCAGCCGCCAGCGCTGGGAGAACGGCGAGCGTTGGTTCCCGCCGGTTCCCCCCCTGCCCCTCCCCGTCCGGCAGGGGTGGTGATCCCCCACGCCTCGCCCCATTACGGAGCGGGATCGGGCCCAGCAGCCGCTTTGCCAGTAGCCATGTCACCAGCTCGGCAATCCCAAGAGGGACCCACCAACCAGCACCACCGGCTCACGGACCCTCCTGGGCCCCAAACGCGTCTTCGCCCCTCCAGAGCAATGCCCAAAGCCCCCCAGCGGCGCAGGAGCAGGGTAACAGGCATGGGCACCCCCTATCCCACCAACACCCACCCCCTTTTCCAGTCTCCAAGATTCAAAAACAAAATTAAAAAAAAATAAAATAAAATACAGACTTCACTGAATTTACAGCCAGAAGCTGGGTGGCAGCC